TATAATGAACCCATTCTAGTTCATACTAATGGTACTCCAATGAGCAGATTTTTTAAATGCCTTTAAATCTATCGGGGCAGTGTGAAAATATATTTTAATCTGAAGAAATCTAAGGGCGCTGGAGTAGAACACACAAGAAAAGAGATCTGAAACAGTTGCAAAACTCCCCACTCCCAGACTTCTGGTTTCTGCATTTCAAGGGCTGGGGCTTTTGTATTGGTCCTTAAGGGTTAAATGTGGCAGATATCTTCATCTGGGTTTCCCAAGCCACAACCACAGTTGCTGGCACAACTGTCCGGTGCTCAGCGATTCCCCTGAACATTTAGGTGGTTTGTCAATGCCAATCTCTTTTTCCTAAAGTTGAGTGTATCCACCTCTGCTGACTTCTTTCCCTAACCCTTTTCTTCAGATGTCCTTGATCCCCAGACTTAGATGGACTTCTCAATCTTTCTAATAACCCAGCCTTTGTGGATTGCCTAGCTATCCTTAATGTTAGATGATTAAAGATTCAAGAAATGTTGAGAAATAAAATAGTCTATTCCCCGTTAATCCACAATGTGAATCACATACAAGCTTTGGGTAACAAAGAAATGGTGACACAAATGCTAAAGAAAGCCATGGAGGAATTGCACACCCCAACTGGGGTAAGGAGAGGAATCATGACCCAGGAACATCAGATCAAGGTGAACTCCTTCCAGTGCACAGAGACTAGTGGGTGAGTACTCGCTGCCTGTATTGTATTGCAAACATTTCCCAGTTTATAACTTTCTACAACTTTTTGAAAAGTGTTTCATGTTCACTTATTGGGACACTGAAATTTTAAAATGGGAGAGCTATCTATATAAATAGCTGAACCCCATATAAATCAGCATATGTAATTGTGAGCACCGACCATAACCTGGGAACAGTCTCCTTCAGTCCCTGAATCTGACAGTCGAGTGTGGGACCACAGGCAAAGCTTTGAAGAAAGAAGGTGTATTTGAGCAGACACTTAAGTCAACATCCTTCCCAAAGATGACGATGTGCTGTGTGAAACTCTGCAGGACTAAAGCTCAGTGAGACTTGTTAAAGCCAGAACCCTCTCCTGGAAATTCCCAAGATACGTGAGTTCCTAAAGAAAAGACACCCTCATCTCCCAATGCACAAAATCTCCAAATCATGAAGCTGAACCAAACCATACAAAGTAGAAACTTCATTTTTTTCAGCTTTCATGGAGGAGGAAATAGAGATTAACCTCCTCTGTATGTCTATTTCTGTAAACTCGTGCTGAAGGTTAACGTCCGATCCTGACTTCCTCAAACCTCGGAGATGTTGTCAGCCGTTGACTCCCATGTGAATAGCTTGGTTTTACTTTCTTTTCTTCTTTTGGTATAAGGCACCTTCAAGTTACCATCCCCATCTTGGCCCTCATGCTACCTTGGCTCCTGCTGTTGATCTGTGGTGAGTTGGACAACTGAGAGTGGGGTCCGGGATCTCACTTCTTGAAAAGGTGTTGAGAATTATAGGATTAAGCTTCTGCCTGGGTATGGTTGTGTTGTCTCTGTCTCTCTCTCTGTCTCTCTCTCTTTCTTATACACAAATAGGCATGTACACACACATACAATATAGGCAACAAACTGGTCTCTCGGTTCCTTTTCTTCTATCAACACTATTTCTTTTGAAGTATTAAACTTTAGCATTTCTCATCACCCCCTCTTCATTCCAGTTAAGCTTCTCTGGTGTCATCTATTTAAATGGAAAGATTGTTTTTCTATTGTTAGTAGGTTTACTCCTGACAGAACTCAGATTCTGCGGTTCATCCGATCAGCTTAGGGTGGGTGCTCTTTCACCCTCTTTCTCCACTGCACGATCAGATGACACATTCCCAGGTGCCCTCACTGCCTGAGCAGATGAGCAGTACTCTACAGAAAGGCTTGCCTGACTGCTTACCACCATGGAATGTAGAAACCAAGACACACATGTTCTTCACCTCTGCTGGAAACCTCATATACACATCTACAACCCTGTTTTTCCACTCATGAGAACTATTATTTCAAATCTTCTCATTTCTCCTCAAACTTTTGGTCCCATTTTATAACTTTGATTAATACTTTATTCAAAAAGTAAAAACAACAAGAAGAAAAGCCTCCATATTTCTACTGCCATGTCTACCAGATGCCTACATGTCTTCTTGCACCATGAGTTCATCTTGTCTCAAAGACAGGAGTCTCTGCTTATTAATGCAAGGCTCTCCTCCTGCGCTAAAACTTGTCCCCTCCACTCAGATGTTTCTGCATTCCAACTTATTCCCATCAATGCACCTGTTTGCTTGGAATTTTTTTTCTCTTTCATGCTCCATTTCTTTCTCCCTTCACCCTGCTCACGGTGACTATTTCACTTCCCTGATTCTTTCTCTTTTAAAACTTCATTTTTAGTCAGATTGGCCTTTCTGAAGCTCTTGATACCTTTTTCCAGATGTTTAACATGTTGTCCAAAGCAAAACCAAAACAGAGAACATCTCTGTCTCATCAAAGATCTCTTCACACTCTCAATCTTGTCTCATGAGCTCCTCTCTCGTTCTTGACCTGGTCTTTTTTCAATTGTTCCAGGTCTCTTTTTGTGAATTCACTTTAATCAACCTTTTGTCTCTACCAGTCCTTGGAAACTATTCTTTCTAGCATCATCCACCACTTCCACAGTGCCTCACCCAGAGGTCATTTCCATTTTTTATTTCCTTCGCCTCTCAGGGGAAGGTCCAGTCAGTCACTCCTTCTGCAGGACACTTCACTTGGTCTCCAGAAGGCCGTGTTCCTGTTTCCCTTCTGCTTCACATTTGCAGTTCTTAGTTCTTCTGCTGAACTGAATCTGTCCTCAACTTATTGACAGCTTTAAAAAGGAGACCTAGACTTCATCTGTAGTTTCTTCTCCAAATTTATACAACTTTGTCACTTAAGGTGCCAAGTTGTCTAACTTAAGCTTTTCTCACCAGATTTGACTTCTTCTTTAAAGAGTTGCCAATGGTTGCTCAGGTGTCTATCAGACATCCTAACCAGCTTTCTTGATTTCTACATCTGTTACCACTACACAAAATTTATCCATTTTTCCCATAACTCTTCTGTTTCAATAAATGTTATCACCATTTTTCCAGTCACTCTGGGCAAAAATTTGAGGAATAGTACTTAACCTCTCTCGCCTTCTCTCCATCTCCTTCCTTCTCTTCCTCTCTCTATCCCCCATCTTTCTTTCTCTCTCCCTCCCTCTCATTTCCACTCTCTTCACAGTTGCTGCTCTGTACCAGCAGAACTCTGAGTGCCCAGATTGTCTGAAACTTTAATACAAACTTATTTCTCTGTTTTGTTTTTCATTTGAGCACTACTCTCTGAAATAATGTTCTGTTTTTATGAAAAACTTTTACATTAAAGTGTAATTATATCACTTCTACCCTCACACATTAATAAACTTTCTATTATTGTTGTTCCATATATGTACATAAATATATAACTACAGCTGTTGAGTCAAGTGGGGCTTATTTGTGTACAATTCCAGGGCTGATCACTTTGTATTGGACAACGACTTAGGGACTCACCCATGGAAGGGGATGTTCCTCCACACACACACATGTCATTATTTGCCTGAATTTCTTTGTCTAGGGGTGGGGACCCATGACATGTCCCTTTGTGTGTTAGCGTGTGCTTGTGTTGTCATTGTTCTGGTCTTCTGTAGGCAGCCATAGTGTTGAGGTGTCATGAGTTCCTGTTATACCTTGGATACATAATTCCACAACAAACCTTCTGGTGCTCTGCTCTTCCACTCTTTTTGCCTCCTCTTCTGCATTGTTCTCTAAGTCTTAGGTACCAGAGTTGTCTCCCACTGTAGTGTAGATTCCTTGATAGTCAAGTATTCAAAAGTATTTCTTTATAAACAAATATATAAATATTATTTTTCTGCTAGCTCCTTCTGATTGCTTGCTACTACCTGAGGAACTAGTTATTCAAATAAGCATTTAATCAAATAGGTATTTCAAACTAAGCATAATTAAAACAATAACTATGAAAAATCTTGATTAGATCTTAAAGAAATGCTGGGCATTATCCTCAGTGCTCCGGTCATGCCCGCTTGTCTTTACAAGTCACCTTCTCAGTCTCACCAAAAATAAAGCTGACAGAGGAGAAGCATGCTTCCCAGGATCTCAGGGCCTTCAAGAGGAAGAAAGAATACCTGTATCCCTACTGTTTAGTGACAAAATCCAAGTTTTCTCCAGAATTTCTCCTTCTTGACCAATTATATCACAAAAGGAGAGACTATTTGAAGAACGCTAACTCTCCTTTGAACCCAGAACTCCTCTGATGGGAAGTTGGTGCCCGCAGGGTCCCATGCCTTGAGATTGAGACCTTTATCCCTCTTATTTGACTTTGTTACACCTGGCAGCAGGTACAGAGGTGAAACTTAAGATCTTTAAGAGGAGAAGAAAGTAGAGAATAAGGGCAGAGAAACACACTGACAGGCAGTTACTAGCGAGACTCCATCCCTTCACCATAGGGACAAGGGCTACTGAAAATTACCTTATGATCATAAAAAGAACTTGTATCTTTTCTGGATGATTAGAATATGGGGAAAGAAACAGAGAAAGAAGAAAGGAATTTGGGGCGGGGAGGTATGGAAGATGGCAAAAGAAGGGGAAGAAGAGGGAGTTGTGGGGAAGGCACAGGGAAGGAGAGAGCACTGTGGGAGAGCCCTTTGGAGGAGTTTAGCTGTGTCTGTGCATCTTGCTTCTTGGTTCAGCCTGTACTGGTTTCTTTTCCAGCTCCACTCTGTGAACCTGATGGTGAGTTGTGCTTCCCAGTCTTCCTTACAGTCTAGGGAGTACCTTGTCATCGCAATCAGCACACAAGCCTTGTGGATGACTGAATAGCCCATGCCTGAACAGCACAGGAACTTCAGAGACTTCTGGATGGAGGCTGTGACCTGTATCTGCCCAAGAGGGGGAGCTGGTCTGGAGCCACCTCAGCACAAGTAGGGAAATAAGATCACACATAGGTGGCAGAAAGCAAGCATCAGGGATTTATTTATATTTGAAGGAGTCTATTCTTCAGAGGCCCTAGGTCCTCACTGTGCTCTTCAGCTGGGGAATCCACTTCCAGTGGCTGAGAACACAAAGTCACAGAGTCACAGAGCACAGCACTACACTTAGTCCCCCAGCCAGTGCAGAATCCAACAGGATTGCTGCCTCATGCTATTTTAAGCAGTGCTCTGTAGTTGTAGCTTTTTGTTCTCTCTCTCTCTCTCTCTCTCTCTCTCTCCCCCCCTCGGTATATGCAAATTTAATTGATTTTCTTACCAGAAGGAACTTTCTCTTGTGAAGTTTATGCAAATCTACCAGGTATGAACTGATCTCTTGCACACAAACACGAGGTTAAAAAAAGATTGTCTGGTGCACCCAGCAGCACAGGATCAGAGATGCCCTATGGTCAAGGGAATCAAAAGACTCTAGTGTCCTGGGTCACTCACTGATATCCAAATTTAACTCATTCATGTTAATGTTATGTGTGCTGTGTGCTTGGTTTCCCCTTTCCCTTTAAGCCCAGACACTCAATCACAGCCCAAAGAGAAATACAAACCCACATCAAGGGCAAGGAAATCATCAGTTTTACATGTGTTTAAGGAATTCTCTGATGTTGAGAATGATCTGAAACAAGCTGGGAACCACAAAGCAGAACTTCTTGCAGTGAGTTTCTAGCCTCTTGCTCCTTGTTTTGCTGGCCCAGTCAGGAAAGAGGCCTGTAGGTACCTAACACCTTTCTTCTCAGCTAAGTGTCAAATGCTGTGGAGTTTATCAGTCCTGTGAAAACCACAGATGTTCACAAAGAGAAGACGCAGAGTATTTCATACTCAGGGTAGGTGCTTACTGTACGCATAACTGATGCCTAAAAGGATTATGCAAAAAAGCTTCTTGTAGGAAAGACTGAGTTCATAGACACTGAACTAGGTATCACTGGGGACCCAGAGGACCCAGAAGACTTTCATCTGGTAAAGAGAAAAAAAAAAGTTTCTTTTATGAAAACTATAAAAACTTCCCAAACTGAGAGGCTCTAAGGATTAACAGATGCCCAAAGAGACTAAGGCATTTCATGGACTGATGGGACAGTGAAGAGGAGGAGGGAGGAGAGCAGCTTCAACCATCTTTACATATTCAGAAACAAGCCCTAACACTCCAAAGCATGTACCTCTAGACTTCAGGCAGAGTAAGTTTTCGTCTCATCTCATGGATTCCACAGAGGTTTGTATAGAAGTCCTGAATCAAGGGGTCTGGGTTGTGTGGATGATGGAATCAGGGACTCACTTCTCTCCATCAGGAACTGCAATAGGAGGCTCAGAGAAGAGTCAACAGAGAACCAAGCCCCTCTTGTTTCTATGGTGTTGCTTTCATAACAACGAGGTCCTCCAGGTCCCCTGTTGTGTGTTTAAATGTAATTTCATTGGTCTGAGATATCAGGGAAAGGGGAACCTTTTTCTTATCAATATGATTTATAACAAAGGTAAATGAAATGAGGTGAGTTTTAACTCAGTGGTAGAACTCTTGCCCAGTCTATATAATGCTATGCTGCTTTGATTCTCAGTACTATCAAAAAAGAAGGAGAAGGAAAAAGACAAAATGGAGAAGGAGGAGGAGGAAAAGGAAGAAGAGGAGAAAAAGGAGAAGGAGAAGAAGGGGGAGAACAACAACAGGAGGAGGAGAAAGACAGGAAGGAAAGAGGAGAGGGAGGAAAGACAGGGAAAGGTGAAAGGAGAGACAGAGACAGTTTTCTAGAACTTCAAGCTTCACCATATCCAGTTGTCTTCAATATACCAGCTTTGGCATAACTTTAAAAATTATGCCAGAAACTTAAAAAATAAGTTAATGAGATCTAAGCCACGGTCTGGAGGCTGATGCCATCACAGGCTTAGGGTGCACCAGAAAGAGCAGGACGGGTTCACAGCAAAGAGAAACGCATGGCTATGAGGGAGGTGATGGGAGATGTTGTGTGTTCTAATCATGAATATTGCCCCGGAGTTTATGTGTATGTCTTCTCTCTAGTGCTGTTTCCGTTACCTGTGCTAGAAGTCAGTCCTTCCCGTCCAGTAGAGGGGCATTCCATGACCCTGACATGCAAGACCCAGCTCCGGACACAGAGGCCAGATAACCAGTTCCGCTTCTGCTTCTTTAGTGATGGCAAGTTTCTTGGGTCAGGCTGCAGCAGCTCCCCAAAGCTTCAGTTCCCTGCCATATGGAGGAAAAATCCAGAGGTTTACTGGTGCATGGCAGAAGAAACAATTAACAAGATCAGAAAGTGGAGCCTGCCAACCAAGATACCCGTGCAGAGTGAGTATCTGAGCTTGCTCTTCCCGAGTCGGAGCTGGGTAAAAGATAGCAGAACAGGTTGTCTTACATGCTCCTGAGAAGGTAGACATTGGGAGGAACTACTAGTTGCCCTGGTGAAGTAGGAAGAAAAGGTTTCTGGTAGAAGTGTGTAGAACAGGTTATTGGAAAAGAGTTTATAGGAGACACTACAATAGAAAAATCATGTTTTATTATCCTGTATCATGTGATTCCTTGTCAGTGTTGATCATCAAAAACAAATTTCCAGTACCTACAGAAGGCTGAGTAGTCTCAAACTTGCTAAAGCTTCAACACTGATAAAAACAAAATGTACCCCAACCTGTAAAAAACCTTGAACAGTTCACGCAAAGCAGAACCTACTCTAGTACTTTGTACTTGTGGTGTACCTGACCTCTAGTGCTACAGGAGGTAATGACAGTCACACACTTACAAATGGAAATTGGATAAGAGAAGTGAAGTCGTTTGATCAAACATACACAGCAAATAAGGGTTTGAAAGACTTCACAGCCCAGCAGTTTGGTTTATAACTTGAACTTGAAATCACTATAGGGTGGAAGATGACATCACATTCTCTACAGTAGAGTGCTTTTTCTTAGCCTGTGACTATCAGCCTAATCTAAGACGATTCTAAGTCAGCAGAACACTAGCCCCAATGTAAGCTATTAAAATCATTGACTTTGCCAACAGTCTTTGCTTTCAGAACCACCGCACCTACTCCTCCCTGAAAAGTTCCCTACTCAGGGTCCTCTTCATTATCTTTTATTCCCACAGGAATCCCTGTCTCTGACGTGAGCTTGGAGACACGGCCCACTGGGGGATGGGTGATGGAGGGAAGCAAACTGGTCCTCATTTGCTCAGTTGTTAATGCCACTGGAAACATAACGTATCTCTGGTACAGAGGGGCACTGGGTTCGAACCTGGAAACAAAGACACAGCATTCACTGTCAGCAGAATTTGAGATCACTGAAATGAAGAGAAGGGATGCTGAGCAGTACTACTGTGCAGCTGACAATGGCTACGGCCCTGTTCTCAGTGAGCTGGTGAGCATCGCTGTCAGAGGTACGTGGCATAGCGACCTCATCTCAACCAGCAAGTCTCACTCCCCTGAGTGGCCCTTAGCAACTTTAGTGGGATTGAGCCTCTAGAGAATAGGCAGAAATTATGGGTCTGTCGTACCATCAAGGCGCCTTTCTCTAACTGTCCGCTGTTACACAGTTCCAGTGTCTCGCCCTGTCCTTACCTTTGGAGAACCTGGAATCCAGGCTGTGCTGGGGGACCTGGTGGAGCTTCACTGTGAAGCCCTGAGAGGCTCTCCCCCGATCTTCTACCAGTTCTATCACGAGAATGTCATTCTGGGGAACAGCTCAGCTTCCTCTGGAGGAGGAGCATCCTTCAACTTGTCCCTGACTGCAGAAAATTCTGGAAACTACTACTGTGAGGCCAACAATGGCCAGGGTGCCCAACGCAGTGAGGTGGTGACTCTCAACATAACAGGTATTGGTTAGGCTTTGAGAATCTTAAGGTCAATGTCTCTTCCCCAGCATGCTAAGAGAGCTTCAGTGTTTCAAGGGGTCTGTTGTCCAGGGCAGGGCTTCTGTATGTGACGCTGTCATGGGTGATGTATGTGAGAGGGGCAGGACTTCTGTAAGCAATGACGCCACAGGTGATGAACATGAAAGGGGCAGGGCTTCTGTACATGATGTTGTCATGAGTGGGAAACATAAGAGGACGGGGTTTCAATATGCGATGCTGTCATAGTGATATTCATGAGAGGGGCAGGGCTTCTGTACATGACGCTGTCATGGTTAATGAACAGGAGAGGTGTGGAAGATAAAGTTTGAGTGCCTATCTTCTTTCATCAGTGTGGGAAGCAGGGGTTTTCTAGATAAACAAAGACACCTTCCTCCCATGAGGGGCAGTCTTTGAACGTAATCCACACACAAGATGTCTGCTTTCAAAACCCAACCCCTTCCTTACCAGAGCACATGTGCCGGTCTCTCCTCAGTGCCCATTGAGTCTGGAAACAATCTCACCTCAGGAGTCACTGAGTGGCTGCTTGGCTGTCTTGGCCCCATCACTATGGCCCTAATATTTTGCTACTGGATCAAAAGAAAAATAGGTTAGTAACTTATATATATATTTCGCTACTGTAGCCTTTAGTTTTCTGAAACAGACAGCACGTGTGGCTCACATACTGCCGTAAGCGCGTGCCCTGGCTACCTTGCCTCTATCTTCTCGAAAACTTTCAAAACTGGTTTAAGCCCCACTTTTAAGAAAGTTCTTTAATTTCTCCAGCTGATACCTTGTTCTTCTGTGATTTAAATTTTTATAAAATATAACAATTTTTTGAACTAGAGAGATGGAACACTTGGTCCTGACGTCAGTGCCGTGCTCTTACCCAAGGGTGCTGTCACAAGCTTCTCTCCCTCCCTGGAACACAAGTCACGTCCCTAGGGCTCTGGTCATTCCTGGATCTTTCTCACCTTTTGGGTGAAATGTTCTTTTTCTCCTGAAAGTCTCACCCTGTAACATAGCCAACAACTGCTCTCCATTCTGAATTTTAGGTTATTTACCTTCCGAGTTTATCACTACCCACAATTTCACAGATATCTATGGTCTCCTACTCTTCACTGAGCAAGTTAAAGATGGCCCATAGAGGACAATGGGAGGCAATTCAAATATCACTTGAATTTCAAGCTTTTCCAACATCTTTGGACACCTCTTCCCAGCTATAACTTGGCCATGGCAGCACCTGACTCTGGGACCCTGGGCAGGATAAGAGTCACGAGGGTTATTGTAAAATCCAAAGCAAAGCATGTAGCAGGTGACAAGTTCCAACTCCTGTTTCTGGTACTTAGTGGCTTTGGGAACTTGTTGACTTCCAGCTTTGGGAAGTTTACTTGACTCTTCTGGACCTTATTGGCCTTAGTTGTGACATAAAGACTCTGTAAGTGTCTGCCAGGTGTCTGCTGGGGCCATAGTGCCATCCCAACTGAGCACCACAGGCAGGAGAGCAGTGAAAGTGGGCCCCACTGATACATGCTCTCATTTTTCTGCCTTGCAGGAAGACAGTCGGATGATCTACTCAGGTGAGGGCCCTGCTTTCTCTATGTGCTCATGATGCTGAAAACTTACTTTTAAAAAGTTAATTCTTTTATTTTTTTAAGATTATAGTATTATTACATCATTTCTCCCTTTTTTTTCCTTCCTCCAAACACTCCCATATACCGCTCCCTGCTCTTTTTCAAACTCATGGTATCCTTTTTCTTTTTATTGTTGTTATATAGATATATGCGCATGTATATACATATATGTGCATGTACATATGTATATATTTTTAAACCTAAATACAACATGTTCAGTCTGTATATTGCCTGTATGTTTGTTTCCAGGACCAACCATTTGGTGTTGGATAGCCAGTTGGTATGCTATTCCCCAAGGAAGAGTGTATCTTCCACTGTTAGCATTGCTTAGTTGCCTCTGTAGTTCCTCATGTACAGTCTTTCCCTGTCCACTTTAGTGTGTCTATTTTTGTTGCTTTGTTTAGACAGCCATGTTGGTGAGACTTTATGGGTGTAGCTTCTAACATTTCTGGAAGACACTCTCACAGCAAACTTTCTGACTCTCTTGGCTCTCACAAACTTCCCACCCCCTCGTCTACAATGCCCCGAGCCTTTGGTGCAGGAGTATTTTATAAATGTGTCCATTGGGAATAAACTTCACAACTCCATGTTTTGATTGTTTGTGGTTTTCTGTAGTGGACTCAGTCTGTTTGCAAAGAGAAGGTTCTTTGTTGAGGGATTAACTTATTTGCAAGTGTAAGGTCAAATATTTCAAATACAGTTAGGAATTGTGCTGGTCTAATACAGGGTGGTCGGATGTGCTCCTCTAAGATTGATGTCTTCACTAGCCCTGAGTACTACTGACCACTTCTGGGCCCTCGGGTCATCATGTCATACTGGTTGTTGTGGTTCATCGGTATCATCGCTGGATAGGACAGTTGGTTGCTTCCCTCCTTAGGAAACTTGCATGTTGCCTTCTGCTACCATGAAAACTTACTTTTAAAACCATGATGTCCTCTCTCTTGAGCTGTTTTCCTGTTGAAATGCAACTAAAGCTCACTCGTGAGTTCCCCCATTGGCAACTTTGAGCATTAAATTGCTATTTCTCTTTCACTAATTACTTTAAATTATTCCCCCATTTTCTTTATTGTGTCCTTCCCATGCCTCTGCAGCTATCTTCTTTTGGTTTCTTTTGACCCTGCCACTGCTTTATTCATACAGTCAACTTGCCTATAGCAGAGGTTTGACTAATGTAAAGACCCCGAGACTCAAAAGCAGTTTAGGACAGGTAAGATATATACGTTACATATCTCTGAAACACAAGACAGAGAGCAATAAACACACTGGAAATATTGTGGGCCACATTTTCTAGAAGCTGAGAGGAGGAAAACATTTCTAAAATGCTTGCCGGCTCCAGACTTAGCTTGTGTATTTTCCACACCAACAACAAACACTTTCCACATCTCCAGTGTGCGTGTGCATGACCATTTTCTTTTGTTCCTTCCTCAAGTTGCTTATTCTGGCCAAGTGTCTATTTTCACTGAGATAATCACTATTTTTTTCCTTAGTGTAACCCTGCTCTGTTCCAATGGACTTGCAGGTAGACTCCCTGATAAGCAGACAGAAAAGGAGAGGGACCATGACTTGGTAATTAAATGGTTGGATTTCCAAGGCACTGGCTTCTTTCTCACCCTCCTGACTTAGGGACAAAAAAGCCTTACAACTGCAAGCAAAGACCTTGTGGGATTTCTCTCCTGCCAGTAGCTCCTGATGATATATTGGCTCAAGTTCAAGGTTTTATCAGGACACATTTACACAACAGTTATAGTCCAATCAGACACCCAGTCTTTCTTCAACCAACCAACCCAGATAAGGGGAGAACAATTCTTCAATGACTTACAAAAAAAAAAAAAAAAAAGAATCAATCCTCAAAGACAAGCTGGACTTCAAATTTTCAAGCCACCCCGTGGCTTTGCTGGGGATCTTTCTCTGTGTCTGCCGTATGTGTGCGCTTCCTCACCCCAGTAAACTGTCTTCTGCCGTCCTGCAGGTGCTCACGGTCTCTCTGCTGTCACCAGTTGCACTCAAGGCTTTTTCTGCCTTTGAATTCTTTAACTGGCAGAGAAAATGAGCCCAGTGGAGATCCCTAGATGGTAACAGCTCCCTGTGTGGGCGACGTCATAGTGAACCTGTGCCCGGGGAACTTATGCACTGGTGCAGCGCACGGACCCCATTCTGCCCATGGATGAGGCTTTAGTTTATACCACACAGCTGTCCCGTCCAGCTGCTAATTTTTCCGTGAATTAGTGTCCTGTACAGGACCTTTTCCTTCACAGTTTACAATCTTAGACTGTAACACCCAGAGCATCTGGGATGCCATGTGTTTTGTGCTTACAGGAGCCCTCCGAGGCCCGTGCTCCAAGAATCCAGCTACCTCAACTCACCTGACCCAGAGCAGATAGAGTGCGTGTACGAGAACGGTGAGGCTTCCCAATGACCTGAGTCAACACGGCACAGGTTGCTTGCCAAAGCCAATTCTGCTGCCTCCCAATCCTTCTACAAACAGACGATTCACCTGCCTCTGAGTTTGTAATAGGAGGTGGGTGTAGAGTAAGTGATAGAGCAGAAAGAAAGGACTGCTCCCATGAATCTCCTTTATTGTTTCAGTGAATGTTGTACGTGGTGATGAAATTTACTCACTGGTGTACCATATCCAACAGGAGCTGGAACCAGTAGCAGGTGAGACATGGAATGGAATGATTTTTTTTCCCAAACTTTTGCCTGTCCCAGAACCAAGAAGACAGTCAGTGGCTCTGCTTGGCAATAGGGCAGTGTTTGTCCTTAGAACTGACTGTAGGGGTCACTGTAGTTACTTTAAAACTGACCTTGAAGCTGTGTCAAGTAGAGCCCATTGCTGTCCTTAGTGCATGCTTCACATGGCCCGTTTTTAATGGCAGCCCAAAAATGTCAGCCTCTGCCAAGTGACCCTACACGCCCCCTGCAATGCTTCACCTTGGCTGCCACTCTTGCCCCATCCTATGTATGGTAGACCCCGAAAAGGAGAGAGGTATCAAGTGTCTCTAGTGCCAGAAGGCCCTACAGACTCACCCACCCAGGCTCCTGTTCTTCTGTGAACACTAAGAGAATTGTTCATGCATAAAAAGAAAGACAGGAAATAATACTGTAGCTCAGTCCATGGAAAACAGGCTGGAGAAAAAGAAAGTTTCACTAAGGGGAGTTTGTAAAAAACTAAATATAAGGGAACCTCACAGTGCTTCTTCATTCCTCCACAGCCCAGCACATGAAGACGCGTGGGGCCAGGGAGGTAAGCAGGCTCTTCACTGTTCTCTGTGTGCTTCCTCTGTTCCCTCTGGAGACTGTTGGACTAGTTTTCCACAGTATTGCTACTTAGGAGGAGGAAAATAAATTTCAGGGTCCCTTATTTACCAACACAGTAGAGATAAAAAGCATTTAGTTATAGCAATGAAGAATCACTACATGAGGGAGTTTTGGAGGCTTATGGGTACATTTCCCTGAGCAATGTGCTGATGTATTGCTCAATCTTGGTTTATACTTATTTTAAAAGTTCTATTTATTTGAAAATTTCTATCCTAAAATACTACTGAACTGTATAGCTGTCAACTAGTGCTATATAACTAGCAATATGAAGTGAACTAAGTTAATACCGAATAATACTAACTAAAACTGATGCTGCCTTTAAAAGCAGGCCTGTGACACATGCATGACACCATTCTAACAGCAGCGCTGGGATCTACTTTGCACAAAAATGATTTGTATTATGAAAAATTCTTAATTTACAACTCCTGGATAATTGAAGATATTCATGGCAGGGGCTGGAGAGATGGCCTTACTGCTCTTACCGAGGAACAGGATTCAGTTCCCAGCACCCAATTGGGTGGCTTACCACCTCTCCACATTCAGGGGAATCCGATGCATTTCTCTGCTCCCCATGGGCACATACCCACACACAGACAACACATATGTGCACAGTTTAAAAAAATTCTAAAATCCTTCCATGGTGCTACATAAGTACTTTCTGAATTGCAGGTGTTTTGACTTTGTTCCAACAAGTATCACAGGTACTTTCACAGTTTCGTCCTGTGTAAAGGTAGTCTCGGGGCAGAGCCCAACTCCTTGGAAAACAGAGTATTCTCAGTTTAGTTTATTCATTCTAATGTCTTTGAGAAATGACCTCTCATAAGACTGTCCAGCAGGAGAACTTCTAGAAGCTTCAGGAGTGACAGGCTTCTTTGACCACACTGACAGAAGGATTCTGGCTTCCAAGACGCTCCTTTTAAAGTGTTGTAGTTGCATATGACAAAATTCATCTGGGCTGACTGGGAAGAGGCCCAGTGGAAGACTTGTTCTTTGTCTTCTCTTCTTTGGTCCTTCCAGGTCTCCTCTGAAATCTATTCTAAGGCAAGAAAGAAAGATATTACGTACATGGACTATGAAGACACTATATAAAATTATGTGAACAGCATCTTTGTAGGCCTGAGGAGTACTCTGAGGATACTGAGGAAGGATACCTTGTCAGTACACCTTCCCCACATGCTTCCTTTTGTGAGAAGGTTCCTTCACCTATGCAGTGTGAAGTTGGTACAAGTCCTGAAGAAACCACCCGGGAAAATTGACTTAGATCCAGAAGCTGGAAGGATCTGCTTGTTGCCCATTCACTGTGGGGTGTGACAAATCGCGTGCTACTCTTTATTTACAAGAGGAAAGTGGTGTGATGAAAGCCACTGAGATTTTGGAGCAGAGGAACTTAGAGTGCACAAAGCCAACATCAATGACTTTGCAGGTCTGTTGTGAATAGAGAGCTATGCTTCCCCTATGCACATGTCCTGTCTACACTTAGAACACCTGAGTCAATGTACTTTGAGTCATGGCATCGATTTAGAATTAAAGCACAGTTGGAAAAAATTTACTGTGACTACACCTAACTTTAGTGACATATTTTGGGTGTATAGGCTAGTCTAAATCCTCTCGTGATTTTATAATAGTCATTGAAAGGCTCACCAAGTTCTAAGTTTTGAACTTTGTACAGTATTTAGACTAAACTTTATGAATATATTTAAGTACAGTGCTTCTCTTTGAATTGTCAAACTTTTTAAATATAGTCATTTGGCTCAAAGTCTATTTTAATTTTAAATCAATTACATATTTGCGTTTATATATTAAAACAATTTAAAAATAAAGTGAAAAGTAAAGTCTTGGCTATGAGATACCACAAATGACGACTACTGTAAAAACGTATCCTGTATTTCTCCAGATGATTTCTGCTTGTGCACAAACACTTGAATATAAATATAGATAGTCAAAAGTATAGCTACTCAAGTAGCTGAAACATGTCCAAGTATGTGTGTGAGTCTATTATACTATTTCAAAAGACTCTGAAATATTCTGTCATGTGTTTATATCATAATGGATGCATTTTTCCTTTTACATAGTAATAAATATATATAACCTAAAACTGATTATTTTAATTTTTTAAGCATTTTAACTTTTTTTTGAGTCAGGACCTTGCTATGTACACCAAATGCACCTGAAATTTGAGATTCTTCTTCTTCAGTCTCCCAAGTACTGGGTCTACAGGCATGTGCCACCATGCACTACTCATTTTAACAGTTTTAAATGTATGGTCTAGAGACGTCACCTACTCTCACATTTTAATACCTTTCACCACTGAAGGAGTTCAGGTAACAATTGCATTGGGAGGAAGCTGTCTTTTGCAAGAGTCTAGCTGACATTCTTTCTTTGAGGTCAAAGATGGTTTGGTGGGGAACTATTGGGTTCTCTCAAGAGGTTGTGGGAATTCTTCCAAAGAACAAGGCATGTCCCATGTTATTTGTTATCCAGGGCTGCCCCTTTACACTTGGAGGCAGCTGCTTGATTTCCCCTGGCCACAGATCTTCCCATTTTTGTATCCTGAGCAAAGAATTACAGAAACTTGGTTGAGAAGGACAGCATCTAAAAGTTTGAGAGCTTTTCTGTGAATGTCTAATAGGGATAGGGAAGTTCAGTGGTATTTAAAAGATTTCTTTCCCTCCAATAGCTGCGTAGACAAGCAGAATTAGGAAGGCGTATGTAGGATCTTCATAAACATTTTTTTGCTGGAATAACTCAGAGGCTCTAGTGAAAGCAAAGAGCATAGTAAGTTGGGCAGTAGAATTCTGGAGTAGAGTCCTCAAGGCAAGGGCACCTAAACTCATAACCACAGTGTAACTAAATATCTAATTCCATCCTTGAAGAAAGAGCTCCCCTCAGTGTACAATATTAAATTGGAATTCTTTGGAGGCTGAGTATTTCAGTCGAGATGAGCGGCTTAGCTTAGCTATCTACTAGGAGGACCTCTTCACAGGAATGGAGGGGTTTCCAATATCCTTGTGGAAAACATGAGGAAGAATTTAAATTTTGACAAGCCTGACGCATCACTTCAGGACCTTCCAACAAAAGGGCTTGGTATGTAGTAAGGGAATTTGATATCACAGATTCTCCTTAGAGTTGAAAATACATCAATAGCATGTAGGGTGTAAACCATTAGAATACCCAAGGGTAAATATTGAACTTCTGGAGTCTAAAGTCCCATGTCTGCAACTGCCCAGCAATAAGCAAGCTGCCCCTCTGCTACCTGGTCTAAATCTTACTTAGGTAGCCTATTAGCTGAGCAGTTGAGCCTACAAGTTATGCAATCATACTCAAAGCCACCCCCTTTCTGTCACATACTGATGAAACTGGATTTGAATGCATAGTCCCAAAGCAGGAGTCTGGCTCCCTTTTTCTTTTGAAAAGCACATTGAGATTCAAGGGTCCATATCCCTAATGAATGTCTCTAAGTTTGAGTTTCTTCTCAGGACTTATAAAGAGATCTAACCAGTTCCGCATACCTACGAACCCAAATTCTACAATATCCAGTAACTTCCAGGAAGGCTCTTAGATGTTTCAAGATTTAAAGGAAGTTTAAAATACATTGGAGTCATTCAGGTCACAAGGCCCTGGTGCCCTTTTTTAAGGTTAGACCCAGACACATGACATTGGGTTTATAGAGTTTGGTCTTAATTTGAAATACTTTAACCTCCTTCTTTCCCAAGAGATTCCAAAAAGACTCTGTACCCTGGAATATTACTCCCTCAGAGTTTCCACAGAAGACAAGGCAATCCATTCGGAGCAGCACCGTTTGGAGTTGTGTCCAATCTATTCGGTCCCAGGAGCAAGCTGCTGCAAACAAGTGTGGGCTCTCTCAAAATCCCTGTGGCAGGATGGTGCAGGTGACTGTATGCAGTGGTCTGAATAAGAACTGGTCCCCATGGGCTCATATATTTGAATGCTTAGTCACTAGAGAGTGGAACTTTTTGATAGGAATAGACGTTAGGAGATGTGGCCAACCCAATTCTCTTCCTCTGTTCTTTCAGTTACTGCTCCAACATCTTGCATGTCACCATGAACCCCACCATGATGGTAATGGACTAAACCTCTGAAGCTGTAGACAAGACCCAATTAAATGCTTTCTTTAGCCTGGTCATGGTGTCTCTTCACAGTAATAGAGCAGTAACAAAGACACTGTAAGGCTAATTTTGGCTTCTACCAATGGCAAACAACAATACTCTACTGAGGAAAGGAGGAGTTTAGTCTTTGTTCTAAGCAAGAAGTCTCTTCCAGAAGATCTGGGGTCTCGGGATCTATTAGGAAGGAGTGACAGAAATGGAGATCTCCACCAGGAGAAGGCAACAGGTTGAGTAAAATATCTTTTAAGGGATTAGTTGGATATTCCCACATGATAGTCGTTTGTTGGGATTTAGGGCCAGGGGAACAGAGGGGGTGAGAATCAAGGACCTGTATTGAGAAGGAAACTGATCTGCCACTCTCCTGCAGACATTATTGTTCAGGGCCCCTAAAGATCTGCTTTTGGAGCAGGAGCCGAGGCCCTGAGACCTCTGCCTCAACAGATTCTTGGGGCATTGATCCTTCCAAGCGATTGCCTTTATAAGTGGGGCAAAGTCCCAGGGTGGCCTACATCTCTGAAGATACTAACTTTGGAGATGGCCTTCCCACTCACAGAGAAAGCAGGACCCTGGGTTAGACTGTGTTCCCTCAGGCGCTTCCTTGATGGCAACCAAAGTTCTTCATGATGTTTGCCATTGCATCCTTCCTTCTCTATATCCTTGCTTTCCTATATACGGTTCCTGATCATGGTTGCAAAACACCACAGTAGCTGCCTGAATCAAACCATTTAGTGGCTTTCCTGGCTCAGTGGCCAGCTTCTGAAGCTTTTAACAGTGGCTGGTTGAGTTAAAAATCTGCCATTTATAAATTCATAGACTTGCTTTGACCTTTCTTAGACCCCCTGAAGGCCAAGATAATGCCTTCTACTCCAGTCTCTCCGTCTATCATTGGGTTCTGACTCCACCACCTTAGGACATGCTGTGGCAAAACTGTGTCAACCTAGATCTCCTTTTCCCTCACTGTCAGTCTGCAAAAAATACTAACTCACTCTCAGTATCTCTCATTTATTATTAATGTATTCATTTATTGATTTGTTTATGTTACAGCATGGTGCGGGAGAATTGTCTGTATTCTGTCAATCATGTCTTAAATAAACGCTGATTGACCAGGCAGGAAGTGTAGGAGGGAAAACCAGACAGGAAGTGGAAATGATGCAAGGAGAGCAGGAGAATTCTGGGGAGGAGGAAGTTGATTCCTCCCACTCCTGCCCAGATCACTGAAGCAGCAGAATGTGAGCTGCCCCAATCAGCATTATAACTTACAGAGTCCTTTGTGTGATTTTTCTCTGGGACTAAACAGCTGGGGGGGCAGGCAGGACTGAAACACAAACAAGCAGGCCCAGCCTTTTCATGTTACAATCTCTCATTTATTATTAGTGTATCCATTTATTGATTTGTTTATGTTACAGCATTTTTGCATTCCAAGGATAAATTACACATAATCATAATACATTGAATCTTTCATTATTTTTGAATTAGGTTTACTAGAATTTGTTATGAATTTTTGCATCTGTGTTTGTGTAGTACATTTTATTATTTGTCGATTTCATAGATACATACATATATCCATGCATATATAATTTTTGCTGTTTTCACTGTTCCCTTTCCTGATGAAACCCTTCTGGCCAAACCCTTCTGTTCCCTTCCTAGTTTCGTGTCTTAAAAAAAAAAATGTTTGTGACCTACTGAGTTTAGTTAGAGGTACTTTTGTAAGCATGGTAGGTAGCTACTTACTGGAGCATGGGCAAATTATCAGTGACCACACCATTGATGAAAATGACACACACACAAATATGCAACCATTAGCTGCCAATAGATCACAGGAAGGTGTGGGGATTTAGGAGCCCTTTTCCTTCCCATATTGAATGGGGACTAGTCTACTCTGATCTTCTGAGGGATAAGCACAGCTGTAGTGATCTCATCGTGCAATTATGTCATGCAGCAACTTTCTCCAACTTCAAATAATCCCTCCAGGAGGGAAAAGAAAGAGGAAGTAAAAATTCATAAGTCTCAGAAAGTACCTGAAACTAACAAGATTCACAAACATCCTCCCCAAAATTATGGAAGCATAAACTGCTGGGGGATAAGACACTCAGACCAGCAGAGCTGCCTCGAGGAAATGTTCTGAGCTCCAAGGTTGAAGATTTCATGGTCATCACCAATGCTTAGGTGGATTGTCCCCTCGTCCATACTCGTGTAAGTAGCCCCAATTACCTCACCAAAGTGAGCTTTGATGGAATCATATTTTTGGCTAATCATTGGTGCCATATTTAAAGTAAATATCTGTTCATGCTGCACCAGGATAAGTCACACAACAAACATCCTTGAAATGTCTGTAAGATATTGTCTCACAGTATACCTCACCATTCACCAGCTCATACAGAACCTTGAGGTAAGGGTTGATCACTCACCAGTCATTCTCAGGATTTTGATTAGTTAGGAGCCTTTGCATTAACTGCCATGCACTGCAAGAGAAGTTTCTCTGATCTAGACTGAGAGCTGGTCTAGTTTGTTGATATAAATATTAAGTAGCAAGAAGACAGTTTTATAACACATACATTTAGTAAAATGATAATTTCCCCCCTCACCAGAGCTTGTGACCTCCCTACCACTGGGAATCAGATTTAAAATAAACAGTGTAAGTTTCCTCCTGTGGAACAGGTCTTAAAAACCAGAATGTCCTTGGTTGTCCATATAATAACCATGCAATTATTGAACCAATAGGCACATCTTGTCGAGGAGGTTTTTATTTAAACTTTCTGGGTGCAATGCTAGATGAGACCATTGATGAGTTTTGCATTGTTTCATCTTGAGTAACACCTTCAGGTACTATGAAAGCTAGCTAGCAGGTAGGAAGCACCCATCTCAGTTTCAGCTTGATTTACCAGTGCCTGCAATTAAAATGTGTGGTATCTTCTGCAATAGGGTCTTTCCATCTAGTCCTGGTGGGAAACCAAGAGCAATGACCTTA